GAGCAGGATTACCGGAATCCTCTACCGAGGGGACGAAACAGAACACCAACTGCCGTCACGCCAAGCTTCAATCGACACGCATGGCCAAACAGCGACCTGTGAAAAATCGATCAGCCCAAGGTCAACATACACAGCTGCAACTTTAAACCTGCTGATCGCATAAGTCAGTATTCGCTTCGACAAAGGAGAGCCGCCCCAGCTGTCCGAAACGTAAGCTAATCTACAATTTCATTTCGGCGAGCAGAAGCCTAATTCTTGACTTGACTCTTTCGATGAAGACCGTGTGTGTCTTGCCATCCTTCTGAATGGCGTAAAGTTTGTCCATCCGTTGCAGGAATTAAAAGAGCCCACTGTACGCGGAGCAAAGCGGTTCACGAACTGTGTCGTGCTTGACTAATACAAAGGGGCAGTGTGCAGGCCTTCGTTCAAAAAAACATGTTTGGGTGCTGAAGACATCGAGGTTGGACGCTGTAGGGTGATATGCTACTTCAGCTGTAGAGCGAAAGTGTTCGATGTGTCGGTGTTGACTGAGAAATAATGCACGAATTAACTTGAAAGGCGAAGCAGTTTGCTAGAAACGAGCTCGGAAATGGTGCATTGGATGTTGTTGCAGCAGGTTTTAGCTCCAAGATGTGTGGTCTGGATAAGACGTGGGGGCGGACTTGCGTTGACGACGCAAACGCTCCGTGAGGCCGTTGGAAACAGAGTGATATGTACTAGTTTTGATGTGCGTTGATCCAAAGAAGTTTAGTGCGCTTAAGGGAGGCGTTAGATTGAAAATGGCTTCCACGATCAGTCAATCCTATCAACCAACCTCTTAAATTTTATAGAAGCAGTTTTTTGTCTCCTACGTTTTGTTTTTTGTAAGTGGGGGGTCCGCTGAACTCTGCCCCCGCTTTAATGGTAAGAGTTTTTTTTACTGCTACCTCCTTATTTCGCCATACTTTTCAGAGAGTGTTGACTATTATTTTAAAATGCCGATATGTTGGTGGATATTAACTTTTCTGCCTACTATACTAAACACACCCGTTGCCTATGCGGTTGCCCACAATGAGCAGCATTTATCAACTTTGTAATTATTTTTATTACAGCACTAAGTTTGCAATGACGAGGCCCTCCGGACTTGAAATATAAAATTTATTTATTTATTCAATAGTAACTGGGACACCAAAATTGGAAATCCTGTGACTAAGGAAACGATGGCGATATTGTCTGCCGAGGTATCCGAAATAGGGACTGCGATTGGCCCCCGTGTGAAGTGATGGGGGTGACAGTCTGACTATGTCCGCCTGGACGTGGTGAAAACGAAAGTCGGGAACCGCAAACGCGCTGGGAGAATAAAATATATGATGGTTGATCTTTTTTTATTTTGGCAGGCTAAGCACTGCCTAGTCCAAAGCGTTATGTTGCCGTTCATCTTCGGCAAGAAGAAACGCGCAAAGATAAGCTTGCGACCAGCGCGAACGCTGGCATGTGACAAGGGGTGGAAGTGATCGAACACGACCTAATGGTAAAACTGTGGAACAGCAGGACGAGGAGTACCTGCAGACTAATCGCATGAGATTGTTCCTAGGGATGCTGGAAGTGCTGCATCGCGAAGCTGTAGAAAAAAGGACGTACAAATGATGGTGATGGATTTGTCATACAGTTGAAGATCTGCAAACTTCGCCAGGTCGATCTCGGCAGAAAGGTGTTGCTGTCAGGAAGGGGATAGAGCATCGGCATCAACGTTGTCGCTGGCTCGAAAGTAGCTGATATCTGAAGTAAGATAGTATTTTTTTCTCCAACCGGAACATGGATCAGTGGAATAACCTACCTTAAGTGATTGCTATGTCCCAATCTGTGGAAACATTCAAACACCGACGTGATGTTGATATGTTACAGCACAACTTGAATTATATGGCAAACTATCCCTAAAACACCAATGCACGATGTGGATCTGTCTACATTTTCATGATTAAGAGGTTTTACACCGTTTCTGATTTTTGAGATTTTTATATCACAAATAGGGAGTTCAAGTGCACAAGCCTATTGGTACCTGAAATGCACTGACAATCTGACTGACTGAATGAGTCCAGCTGCTCTAACAGTATTCTTATTTCCCACAATTTCAAGAACTTCTTACTCAACTAGATAGATCAAAACCAAATGTTATGTATTTTCCGAAACTTAGAGAAGCCTTTCCAATTTCTTCGCCTTATTCGGCCCTGCAACCTACATAAGACCTCATTGACTATACCTTCTCTTGCATGTTCCACTTCTAAATGCCCCCTCTTCTATTATTTCAGCCATCGCTTTTATTGAAATAATCCGCCAATTGAAATAAGACTGTCTGTCTTCAAGCGAAGACTGTGCGCTTATCTTAAGTCCACTTCACTTCGACTGGTCTTTATTTTGCTCGTCAATTATGAGCAGCTTGGCAAACTTTATCATTTCAATTACGTTTTTAGAGAGACATAGGCACGAGCCTTTGAGTGCCCTATTTGTAAAGTGACATTGAGTGCAGTATATGCAGGAACCACATGGACTGCAGGAGTCCAAACGGGAATATAGAATATGACATTTTCGTCGACAGTTTCGAGGGTCAAATTAACTCCCTCATGGCTCCGACTCAATTTATAACATGTATCTATCAAGGTTTCTTTTAAAGTATTCCAACGATGATGACATCACAACATCCGTGGGGAGGGCACTTAATGGTTTGCCTCCTCTGACAGTGAAGGGGAACTTGCGCACATATATTCCTGCCTGCCGAGCGCGCATTTTAAATAAGTACCTCAGAGATAGGTCACGGTAGCAAATTCAAAAAGGTCCCCAAACGCCAGGCAACAATCCAATCCCCTTTCAATGCGGAACGCCTGTAGGAGATCTCGGAAAGAGAACACACCCTACCTCTGGAGTGTGAATCCATCTAGTTAAAGATAAAGAAGGCTAAATTACAGAATCTGGAATTTATGGCCGTATACCGACCACCAAACATTCCGAGTGGAGCCGACGACTTGAATTTTGGTCTGGTGAAGGAAGCTGCTAGCCACCAGGAGGTTCTTATTGTTGATGACTTCAACGCACCTGCAATAGACTGGGACAACCTGACAGTGGAAGCGGCGTCAACTTCCTTAAGTTCCAATTTAATGGATCTCAAGCTTGACCACCCTCTAGCACAGAGCGTTAAGGCACAAACTAGATTCCGAGAGAACCAGATAGCTAGTTGCTTGGATCTAATTTTTACGAAGGATGTATCCTACATTGATGAAATGCATTCAAATGCCCCGGTCGGTGAGAATGATCATACGACGCTAATTTGGGATAATCTACTCAATTCTCAACGTTTGAGGAAAACGGAGGACCAGCCGAATATATGATAGGCAGATATTAATTCAATGAAGAATGCACTATCGTCCGTGAATTGGGACTG